CCCTCACCTCCCCAAGAAAAACATACACACACAGTTAAGCAAATTAGTGATACACCAATATCACAGCAACCTAGCCAGGCTAAAATTTAGGTGGCCAATACAGTACTAAATAACTTATCTAACCTACTTAATTAACTCTTTCATCACTGTCCAGATCCTTTAAAGGAACATTAATCCCAGTGTTCATTAAAAAAAAAAGGGTCTTCTGAAATGGTATAGAATATTTTTCTCCCACTGAATCCCATTTTAAATCAATTCCATTGCTTCATTTGAGTAGATTTTAATTAATTTTGCTAGTGCATTTTCTGTTCTATCAACTGAGCATAAGAAACAGCCCAGCAAGTGCACAAAGTTTACCACTTACAGCTTATCTGAGCTGAGCTGAGCTCATGATGTAGAAGACATGGGGGAACCCTGGCCTCAGTGACAACTCTAGATGACAGCCACTGAGAGGGTTAAGTACAATATTTGCATAACTATTTCCCCGTTTTCCTTGGTTCCTTATCTGCTGGGCTGTGGTATCGATTTTGAACTGCCTACTGCTACCACAAACAGCCTAAGTGATCACTTGATCATCCAGGAAGCCTGGTCTGTACAAGAATGGTAACGTATACTGGAAATTATGTTTGTTAGACACAATATACAGTTTATGGAATTCTATTGGGAAGTCATTTAGTTCACCAGGAACTTTACCAATTATCCAGATTGACAAAGTCCAAATTGATAAAAGTTCCTGGTGAACAAAACATTTTCTCAATAAAATGGCCATAAAGGTGGTGTGAGAACATGGCAGTCAGAGGTGTAATTTTAATGTGATGTCAGCATACACTTGGAAAGATGATTGAGTAAATGTTGTTTAAAGTGTTTTAGTCTGGATCACCCTGCCTTGGAGGGTGATGGCTTATTGTATAGTCTTATGTGGCCCGGTGGCCTGGTGGCTAAAGCTCCCGCTTCACACACGGAGGGCCCGGGTTCGATTCCCGGCGGGTGGAAACATTTCGACACGTTTCCTTACACCTGTTGTCCTGTTCACCTAGCAGCAAATAGGTACCTGGGTGTTAGTCGACTGTGGTTGAGTTCCTGGTGACAAAAACATTTTAATACAATGGAAAAAGGGTTAGGACATGGCTCATGAGTGATTTTTGTGGTCATCCTGGGTGGGTAACTGTTGTTTAAAAATGTCGAACACCTCCTATATCTTATTCTTATCTTATTAATATAGGTAAGACCAGTAGGCTAGTGGAAAACCTCAGTCAGATGACCAAAAGCTCCAGCTGTGGGTCGTCATATGACTAAGATCCACATTCAGGAAACACTTGGCCTGTTTCCTAACAAATCTTACCTAAGTTATGTGGTGTGAATCTGAGTTGTGAGAGCTATCACTCAGCCTCCCGAATCTACAAACAAGCTAATCTCCATTTTTTTTTTTTTTTTGCCTACACAGAACAAGAACTTGTTCTCCAGTTATGTGTAACTGCTGTATAAATAATTCAGTGTGGATGTGGAAAAATTTATTTCGACACTGGCAGCTGGAACACCGAATCCTGTTGAACACTAACTAGGGGGAAACAAGCAGGGCCAAGAGCTATGACTCAACATCCTGCAAACACAACTGAGTAAAATTTGTACAGCACTACTTATAAAATAATTAGGTGCATTGTACATATTTTCTAGTGTGTATAAGAGCTTAACAGTGAACAAGATGATTAATTCCTCAAATATAGTGCTCTGAATTTAAAATGCATTAGTAATAGTTGTAAGTGTTCGAAGCTCTACACCATCCTCTTCCATTTCATTTCCATCAATCTTTGTCCTATGTGGCAACAGTAATTTCATCAACTGTTTGGTTTCCTGCAAGCATTGTGCCTGTAAGAATGGAGTGCATGGAGAGAGCCTTCAGCTTTACTATCATCTCATCTTTCTAGATAGCAGCAGTAGGTCAGAGAGTATTTTGTTTTTTTTCTGAGCAGATAACCTGAATACAGGCCATATGAGCTTTTGTTGTCTCTCTCATGTACTATACAGTACTCATGTGTTTATCATCCTAATGTACTATCAGACAACACCATTTTGTTATTTGACACACACACTGAGCCAGGTCTGTAATCTACACATTAAAATGCAATTTACTAAAGTGAGAGAGAATGGAAAGTGTAGGAGAAACCTAATAAAATGCATAGGTGAAAATGAAGCTGTATATATACTGTACATCCAAGGATGATCACCTTGTATCTCCTACCAGCAAACCATTATCATGGCACCAAGGCTGTGATGGCCATGTGGGCCTACAGGCCGCAAATAACATTTAGCCTAGTGACTAAATCATGAAGTCACCAGGAAACATGGCCTTTCATGCCTTGTAAGGGCTTGTCTGGTCAGCCAGGCTGCTGCTACTTGTGGCCTGCTGGTCCACATATTTATCACAGCCTGGTTGATCTGGCACCTGGCCTTAGGCAAATGTAAGACTTAAAACAAGTCAAGCAGAATACTATAATGAACAATAATAGCAGTACAATATTTATAATTTCATGGGTTTCCTTATTCATTGGATTAAATTATCCAATATTTTTAATAATGGACAACTAGCTAATAGATTTGATTATTCAATGTTTTCCTGGCTCAATGGCTTTCCTGTGTCCAAATCTCTCTTGACTGCGGTCACTGCATTACACGGCATCAATATTTCTCTCTCATCCAGAAAAAATGTTTTATTTTTTATGAGGATGTAATGTATACCTTATACCAGTGAACTGTTTTGGGTTAGCCTAGTTAATTTACACATGTACTGTTATGCAAGACAATTATGACAATCTGAAATGTGTGCAACTGTGCTTAAATAATTACAGTGGACCCCCGGTTAACGATATTTTTTCATTTCAGAAGTATGTTCAGGTGCCAGTACTGACCGAATTTGTTCCCATAAGCAATATTGTGAAGTAGGTTAGTCCATTTTAGACCCCCAAACATACACGTACAAACGCACTTACATAAATACACTTACATAATTGGTCGCATTGGGAGGTGATTGTTAAGCGGGGGTCCACTGTATATAAAATACCAAGGTTCCTATTCAAATGACATTTACACAATACCAAGGTTCCTATTCCAATGACGTATACACAATACCAAGGTTCCTATTCCAATGACGTATACACAATACCAAGGTTCCTATTCAAATGACGTATACACAATACCAAGGTTCCTATTCAAATGACGTATATACAATACCAAGGTTCCTATTCAAATGACGTATACACAATACCAAGGTTCCTATTCCAATGACGTATACACAATACCAAGGTTCCTATTCAAATGACATATACACAATACCAAGGTTCCTATTCAAATGACGTATATACAATACCAAGGTTCCTATTCCAATGACGTATACACAATACCAAGGTTCCTATTCAAATGACGTATACACAATACCAAGGTTCCTATTCAAATGACGTATACACAATACCAAGGTTCCTATTCAAATGACGTATATACAATACCAAGGTTCCTATTCAAATGACGTATACACAATACCAAGGTTCCTATTCCAATGACGTATACACAATACCAAGGTTCCTATTCCAATGACGTATACACAATACCAAGGTTCCTATTCAAATGACGTATACACAATACCAAGGTTCCTATTCCAATGACATATACACAATACCAAGGTTCCTATTCACAAATGATGTACCTGTATTTTATTTGTGCTTTACCTGTGACAGGTTTTGAGGGTACTTCTACCTCTGCAGTCCAGCCTGAGGCCAGGCTTCACTGCTGACCTCCTGGTCACCCACTTTACTAGTGCTAGCAACTTGCAGACTCATACAGCCATTACAGGCCAGCTAATCTGGAACTTACCTTTCCCAGGTGTGCAAATACAACCTACAGCATTTTTTTTATAGACGAACAATTATTTGAAGAGCCATAGAGTGAGCAGGGCAACTGTCTTGGGCCCAGCTCAGTCTTATTACAATGTATGAAATTTTCCAAGCACAGCATCACCTTAAGTACCCCAGTAATAAAAATATAATAATAAAAAATTGAACAGAAATAAGAATTATAATGTACTCTGAAGAGTGACCATAGCTCCTAACACTTATTTCCACTGTTATTACTATGTTCATCAGTAAGCCAAGACAGAGCATATTAGTTTTGTTCCCTGTGCAATAGACATAGGTGTCCTGTGGCCTGGTAGGCAACACTTTCGCCTCACACACTGAATGTCCGTGGTTCAATCCCTGGCAAGGGTGGAAACCTGGAATGTGTTTCCTTACATCTTCTGTCCCCATTCACCCAGTAAATAGGTAAGTACCTGGGTGTTAGTCATCTGGTGTGGTGAATTAGTTTGTGGATGTGTGTTGTTGTCAATGCTGTTGGCCATGCCCCCCACCTCCTTGAGAATTACACATGCCCATGCAACTTAGTGCATTCCATGGAAAGGACACGGAGACACGCCTGTCCGAGCTTGGTTCTGGAGGCAGCTGTTGTGACGCACGACTGCCTGATGTTCTGTTGCCTCTTTTTACCACTTGCATACCAAAATACTGCATTTCAAATGTAAAACAAACTCAATACTGTAAAACAGAAATAAGTAACTGACTTTCTGGGGTTATCCTAGGTAATTTACACACATTAATACGTTTGATAATTTATTTAGGTACAGGTGCACACAAATACTAGAACTTATGTAATCTGGACTATAATTAATAGCTAAAATACAGTGAGGACCAGTCATCTACTCTTATTAAAATTGTCATAGATGTTAACGGCAGAGTGAAACATGCGAACCATGGCTGAGTACACACACAACTTGTAAATTATTATAATAATCATGGGAGAGCACTAAACCTGTAGGATTATACAGCGCCTGTGGGGATGGGGATGGAAGGTATTCAGCCTCAATTCAGGGAACTACATCACAGATCCAAATCAGTGTCAAGAAACCTCCCTTGGGGGGACACTACTTGTAAAGCAAAACATTCATTTATACTCACCATATACAGGTGGATCCGAAGCCTCGGGAACGCCAACAGGTACGGGGCCGCTCTGACGCTTCTCCCAAATGTTCACGCTCGGCGCAGGAGCTGGAACATATTGCACCTTCTCCTCTTCAGTCACTAGTTCAGGGCTAGGCTCCACCTCTTCCACAACCTCCTCGTCCGCCTCGACGGGGCCGTTCATCAACTTCGGGGTAGCGTCTCTGAGGGGTCGCTTTCCCCTGCCCCTGGTGGCACCCCCGTCACTCCTCTCTGCATGTCTAGGGTCCCAGTCTATATATTCCCTACGTCCCCCCCGCTTCTCTCTCCTCCAGCCCCGGCTGCTCTCCCTCTTCTTGAAGCGGTCCTTCTTGGTGCGGATTTCAGTGAACTGTGCCAGTTCTTCAGGGTCAAGGTCGTCGAGGGTGGCACCAGGGGTGCCAGTGACAGTGCCACCAGTGGTGGTAATAACAGTAGCACCAGTGACAGTTGATGTAGCCTCACCAGCTGCTGCCTCGTTACACTCACTATTCACTTGCTTCTCCCCTCCACATAACTTGCCATTATCTCCAACACCCTCATTTTTACTCCCACCAACAATGCCAGCCCACGATGACGTCCCTGTCTTTTCAATCGTAATGTTACCACTGCCACCACAACTGTTTGTCTGCGTCGCCATATTCTTAATGTTGATACCCGACAATATTTACACTTCTGTGGGCCAAATTACGCGTTGATCCAACAATCCTCTATGCTACACTAACACACTAGTCACTGACCTGTGTCATAAAGTCATTTTAGATGCCATGAAGCCCAATGGCGAGATAAAATAAAGTCAAATCCATCAAACATCCCACATGCGTACTAGAAACAACATTCAGGAAAGCATGGTGGAGCTGTGCAGGGGAAGTCAGGAACCCAGACATCTCCTCCCTCATCTCTCATCTTCACACAGTATTCATGCCTCTCTTAGTACATTCAAGAATATTCTACTTTTTTATTTAGGTCTCTGTTTCGATTCACGCGACGCTGGATAGTTTAAAGTGAGCTAAACTGGCATGATGTTAATATTTTGGGAGTTCCTTCACAGCTCCTCTAGCGAGGCTTGTTTGTGTTGGTAAAATAGGATCAAGACCTGCTGTGAGGGACTCGATCCTCCTCTCACACACCTCAACATTCTCCTCTGATCCTCCTTTTTCATAGACGAATAAAACTCGTAGAGCATTTAAATGACAAAACCTCGTTTTAACGAACATAAAATATTTCACAACACCTGTAAATCCAGATTATTTACATATTTCTCAAATATTGTATTTGATCTGCTTAAAATGCTGGTCAGAAAACACTAGCTTGGCTGGCTAATATGGAGATCTGATGTCTATGAGGAATCATTTTTTTTTTTTAGGTACAAGCATATCTACTCCCTTTCACAAATTGTCATTTCTCGAGCAAATTATTTTAGGAGGCATAAACAATCAACAATTAAGTGATTTTTAATATCTCTAGGCTAGTCCCATATTTACCGCTGGTGGAGTAAGGGTATTTTAGGTTGGCTTCCCTTACGTTAGTTTACCCAACCAAATAATTCCCATGACACCAAGATAATATTACGTTATTTTTTATGTCCATAAGTAATATTTGCCTCCATAAGTGTTGAGTCTGTGACACCATGACTCATTTGGACAGATTCCTCTTAAAATTATACTATTAATTATTATTATTACAATCAAAACTAAGCGCTAAACCCACAACCCAAACCCGCAACCTTTAAGGGGCGGGGCCAGGAGCTATGACTCGACCCCTACAACCACAACTAGGCGAGTACACGCTACTCTTCCCCCCCCCACACCTGTATGTGTGTATTTCAACCATGGATAGATATTATTATAATGAGGTGAGAACACCCATGTCTGACTAGATATGATAAAAAAATAGATGACTGGCCACATTTATAATATACCTGTCGTCAATGACTATAATGTCATCAGTGAACACATGTAATTAATACTGACTCCACGCATTAATTACCCACTCATAACAATTATCTTGTTTTACTCTCCCCGTAATTACCATTACACTCGCGTGACCAACTTCCCACTATTCTATGCAAAAATATTGATTGTATAAGGTTGTGAAGCTTTCAGAATGGTTCATCTGGTTTTATATGAGTTTTTCCAAGAACCGCACAGAGCTGAGACTGACAAAAACTGGCCATACGGGTTTAGCTATACGCAAGCATCAGGAAGTGAGTGGGTAGACTGGGTCAATTTGATACTATATATTATATATACTGTATGTGTGAATATAATATATATATACGTATATATATATATATATATATATATATATATATATATATATATATATATATATATATATATATATATACCTGGAGTTTACCTGGAGAGAGTTCCGGGGGTCAACGCCCCCGCGGCCTGGTCTGTGACCAGGCCTCCTGGTGGATCAGAGCCTGATCAACCAGGCTGTTGCTGCTGGCTGCACGCAAACCAACGTACGAGCCACAGCCCGGCTGATCAGGAACTGACTTTAGGTGCTTGTCCAGTGCCAGCTTGAAGACTGCCAGGGGTCTGTTGGTAATCCCCCTTATGTGTGCTGGGAGGCAGTTGAACAGTCTCGGGCCCCTGACACTTATTGTATGGTCTCTTAACGTGCTAGTGACACCCCTGCTTTTCATTGGGGGGATGGTGCATCGTCTGCCAAGTCTTTTGCTTTCGTAGTGAGTGATTTTCGTGTGCAAGTTCGGTACTAGTCCCTCTAGGATTTTCCAGGTGTATATAATCATGTATCTCTCCCTCCTGCGTTCCAGGGAATACAGGTTTAGGAACCTCAAGCGCTCCCAGTAATTGAGGTGTTTTATCTCCGTTATGCGCGCCGTGAAAGTTCTCTGTACATTTTCTAGGTCGGCAATTTCACCTGCCTTGAAAGGTGCTGTTAGTGTGCAGCAATATTCCAGCCTAGATAGAACAAGTGACCTGAAGAGTGTCATCATGGGCTTGGCCCCCCTAGTTTTGAAGGTTCTCATTATCCATCCTGTCATTTTTCTAGCAGATGCGATTGATACAATGTTATGGTCCTTGAAGGTGAGATCCTCCGAGCCTCGGAGAAGTGGATAAAAAGGCTTCAAGGAAGAATATTTGGATTTCTTCCTGAAGTCGTTTGAATATTCCACTTCCCCTACCACCCCATATATATATATATATATATATATATATATATATATATATATATATATATATATATATATATATATATATCAGCCATCTCCCACCAAGGCAGGGTGGCCCAAAAAAGAAAAACTTTTATCATTCACTCCATCACTGTCTTGCCAGAGGCACGCTTACACTACAGTTATAAAACTGCAACATTAACACCCCTCCTTCAGAGTGCACTGTACTTCCTATCTCCAGGACTCAAGTCTGGCCTGCCCGTTTCCCCGAATCCCTTCATAAATGGTATCTTCCTTACACTCCAACAGTACATCAAGTCCTAAAAAGCATTTGTCTCCATTCACTCCTATCTAACATGTATGCTTGCTGGAAGTCAAAGTCCCTCACACATAAAACCTCCTTTACCCCTTCCCTCCAACCTTTTCGAGGACGAAAAGGTTGGAGGGAAGGGGTAAAGGAGGTTTTATACACTCTCCAAGTCATTCTACTTTGATCCATTCTCTCTAAATGATCAAACCCCCTCAACAAACCCTCTTCAGCCCTATGACTAATACTTTTAGTAACTCCACACCTCCTAATTTCCACACTCCAAATTCTCTGCATAATATTTACACCACACATTGCCCTTAGACAGGACATCTCCACTGCCTCCAACAGCCTCCTCACTGCAGCATTTGCAACCCAAGCTTCACACCCATATAAGAGTGTTGGTACCATTATACTTTCGTACATTCCTTTCTTCTTGAACACGTCGGCCGTTTCTGAGGAAGGGTGACCCAAAAAGAAAGAAAAAACTTTCATCATTCAACACTTTCACCATCACTCATACATAATCACTGTCTTTGCAGAGGCACTCGGATACAGCAGTTTAGATGTCCCTCCAAGCTGCCAATATCCCAAACCCCTCCCTTTAAAGTGCAGGGATTGTACTTCCCATTTCCAGGACTCAAGTCCAGCTAACGTGTGTGAAATATACGTATATATATACACACTCTAAAGGAGGGGTTTTGGGATATTAGCAGTTTGGAGGGATATGTTGTGTATCTTTATACGTATATGCTTCTAAACTGTTGTGCTCTGAGCACCTCTGCAAAAACAGTGATTATGTGTGAGTGAGGTGAAAGTGTTGAATGATGATGAAAGTATTTTCTTTCTTTTATGGGTCACCCTGCCTCGGTGGGAGACGGCCGACTTGTTGAGAAAAAAAAAAAATATACACACACATGGCTGGTTTGTTGAAAGATGTTTTTTTTTTTTTTTTTAACAAGTCGGCCGTCTCCCACCGAGGCAGGGTGACCCAAAAAGAAAGAAAATCCCCAAAAAGAAAATACTTTCATCATCATTCAACACTTTCACCTCACTCACACATAATCACTGTTTTTGCATGATATAAATTGACATAAATCAGAGAAATGTTTTTGGGTCTGCCCAAACAAGATACACCTATATATGAAAATTACATCTATATTAAAAGACAAGAACACCAATAAAATATCCTTCTTGAAAGACATGTCAGCATGGTATGACAGCTGGGAAAATAAAATGGGTGGGTTGGACGGGGCAGTCTTGAGGGTGCTAGTGTTGTCCTAGAGGACAGTGCACCAAAAGGAGATAATGGCCCTGGTGATGAAACAGGTAAGACAATGCTATTCAATTTACAGAGGTACAAAATAGCGATACTGCTGGAGATGGAATAAAAGCGGATGATGCCTCGGGGAATAGTGTTAGACACATTACCAGGAAAAATTGGTGGAAGGACTTATGTCCATACAGGGGTAGCAGCTAGAGGGGAAACAAAAAGAAAAAATGCACCAGCAGCAAATGCAGCTACAAAATATTCTAGCAAACAAAATTCCAATCTATGCAAATTCCATGCCTTGGGTATCTGCAGGCATGGTATATCTGGTAAAACAGGTGGGACATGCACCTTTGACCATCTCAAAAAATGCTGCACCCACATGACAACAGGAGGGCGCAACTCCCCTTCCTGTAACTTATTTCACTCCTAAATGTATCACTCATCACTCCATGAAAGAAAATGCTACAATGCATACTGCCAGGCACATCATCTAAAGGGAACAAGAAGACACAGACCAGTCGGACTATGGGAAACAAAAGAGGGGAGCCATAACCTCCTCAGAGAAAGAGGTTTTTCAGTGCCAGGAAGGAAAAAAGACTGGCAAGAAATGACAATCTTACACCAACTGAAAACACTTCTGGAGCAGACACAGTCATTGGCCTCCACTCCAGAACAACAGATATTAGAGCCAGCAAATAAAACCTCCCTATATTCCATCAATATATCGACATTTGTCTTTGCAAACATACAGGGTCTAAAGCCGTCAACAAACAAAATTCCTTACATCAAGGGACTGCTCAGTCATATGCAATGTTTGCAGCATTCACAGAGACCCACATAAAGGATCATTTTGACAACAAAATATGGATCCCAGGTTATAACCTATTCAGATGCGGCAGACTAAACAGGCAACAGGGGAAATTGGCCTGTACGTCAGAGTTGACCATTTGCTCAGAACTACTAAACACCTCAAATGATGTAGTTGAAGTTTTGGCAGTAAAGATTGAAAACCAAAATCTTGTCAATGTGGTTATATACAAGCCTCCAAATGTAACTTCCCAGCAATTCTGGGAGCAGCTTTTGAAAATTGACCACTGTCTGGAAAATCTCCCAACTCCTACCCCAAACATCTTG